AAAAAAAAAAAAAAAGAGTAAAGAAACAGAGAGAAAACACAGGATAGACTCAGATGGTCCTGAATTCTTATCCACTGGCCCAGAACTTTATCAATGCCAAGGGGTGGAGCATAAGACCTCCCCCTTGCTAGTTAGACCCTTACAAATACCTGCAGTCCATGGTCCAATCAACCTCCCATACAGTCCTGCTGGGTACAGCCACTAGGAAACCTAGTGGGCTCCAACATATACTAACTAAATTCCATGACACAGCGCCATTTACTAGTCAGCTTGACCCTTGTACCAGTTAGCCATCCTCTCTCCATCTTTCCCCTTTCTTCCCACACTTTTCATTCTCTAGTAATCTAATTACGAATGATACCGGGCAATTTTTTAGCTGCTTGTTGGACATTGCATGTCTTCTTTAGAGAAACATCTTTTCAAATTCATTGCTCTTTTTTCTTTTTAGTTGGTTGTGATTGTCTTATTGCTTGGAGTTTTTCATATATTTAAATCCTTAGCAGGAGTTGGGGATGTCATTCAGGTGGTAGAGTATTTCCGTTGTATATAGAAGGCCCTGGGATTTATCTGTAGTACAACAAAACAATCACCATAAAAGAAACCTTTGTTAGATACATACTTTACAAACACTCACCCATGCTGTAGGAGTAGGTTCTCTTTTCATTGTACCAGGCTTTTTCTCTTGGGATACCAACCAGCTCCCAAATTATGACATAGAGACTTATTAGTTATGAAAGCTCAGCCTAGCTTAGGCTCATTTCTGGCTAGCTCTTTTAACTTAAATTAACTGGTTTCTCTTTATCCACCTTTGCCTCAGTCTTTTTGACCTTTCATCCTTTCTGTATATCTTTCTTTCCTGCTGTCTCCCTGTCTGGCTGGCAGCTGCCTGGCTTCTGGCCTCAGGCATGTCCCTCTCTTTCTCCCTCATTCTCTCGTCTCTTCTTCCCTCTCTTCTGGAGCCTAGATTCTTCCTCTTACTTGTTCTCTCTGCCTGCCAGCCCCGCCTATCCCTCTCCTGCCTAGCTATTGGCTGTTCAGCTTTTTATTAGACCAATCAGGTGCCTTAGGCAGGCAAGGTAAAACAGCAACACATCTTTTTCATAATTAAACAAATGCAGCATAAACAAATGTAACACACCCTTACATCGTTAAACAAAGGCAGCAGAAACAAAAGTAACACACCTTCACATAGTTAAAATAATGTTCTGCAGCATAAACAAATGTAACACATAGTTAAAATAATGTTCTGCAGCATAAACAAATGTAACACATAGTTAAAATAATGTTCTGCAGCATAAACAAATGTAACACATCTTTGCCCACAACATTTAATTTCTTAATAATACCCTTTGATGCAAAAAGGTTTTTTTAAACTCTCTCTCTCTCTCTCTCTCTCTCTCTCTCTCTCTCTCTCTCTCTCTCTCTCTCTCCAGTTTTTGAGACAGGGGTTTCTCTGTGTATTCTTAGTTTTCCTGGAACTCACTCTGTAGATCAAGCCAGCCTCTAACTCACAGAGATCTGCCTTTTTTATGTCTCCTGAGTGCTGAGATTAAAGATGTGTGCTACCACTGCTGGGCCAGATTTATTTATTTCTATTTTATGTGTATGAGAATTTTGCCTGCAATACCACTACGCCATGTGCATGCAGTTCACAAAGTGACCAGAAGAGGGCACCAGATTACCTGGAACTGGAGTGATAGGTGGTTGTAAGCAACTCGATGTGATTGCTGAGAATTGAACACAAGTGTTCTTCAAGAGCAGCAAATACTCTTAACTACTAAGTCATCTCTCCAGGCCTTGCTTTGGGTATTATAGTGTACATGTTTCCTTTACCTAGTATTTAAGCAACATTATTTTACTTCATATAGAGCACAGAACTCTAAGCAATAGTTCACTTCTTTTTTTCCTTGCCTAATGTTATTGTTATTGAATTTGCTATTGCTCACTGCATATAGAACAGACTGGCCTCTGCTGTGGAATAATCCTCTTGTACACTGTAAAAGTTTGTCACTTGAATTGGTTTAATAAAATGCTGATTGGCCAGTATCCAAGCAGGAAGTATAGGCAGGGCAGCCAAACTAAGGATGGTGGGAAGAAGAAGGGCAGAGAGATGAGTCGCCAGTCAGATGCAGAGGGAGCAGGAGATGAACGTGCCATGCTAATAAAGGTACCACCATGTGGTAAAGCATAAATACAAATATGGGTTAACTTAAATGCTGCAGGCTGCAGGGATATATCATAAGAACTCAGCTGGTTTTGACAAAGTCACTACCTGGAGGGATCAGGGATTTCCTCTAGAGGAAGCCAAATCCCAAGGAGCTTTTGATGTTACTTGGCTTGTTATATATCAGTTGTATTCTGTTATGAAAATCATGTGTGCCTTCATAGTTTTCCCAATTGACTTTTCCCTAAGAAGGACTAACAGTGTGAACTGATCACTCTATGGACATACACATTCCAGGTATTTGGAGAACAGCCTCGGGAAAAAGCTTTCTCTGGAATCAGATATCTCCCTTAGCCACTTTCAAGGACTACAGGAAACACCTCCCAGGTGGGCGCCCAACTTCCAAGGATAACAGTGATAACAGCCCACATGTAAGTCTCCTGACTTAAATTCCACAAGGAGACACTACCCAGGTGGGCCCCAACTTTCAAGGACTAATAGTGATAGCAGCCCACATACAAGTCTCCTGGCTTAAGGTAAATTTCACAAGGGGACACCGCCTAGGTCAGGTGGACTTTAAATAATGGCTTTATACAATTTAGCTCGGACCCTCCTTTTATATACCAGGACTTCCAGGGCAGAGGACAGAGAAGAGAAAAGAGTATGGAAGAACTAGATGGGGAAGAACTTGAGAGGAACAAACTGAGATGGGGAAGAACTAGATTGAAGGGCTAGAAGACAGTACTAGAGGAACAAGATGGAAGATGAGGAAGAGCCAGATGGAGAAGAACAAGATGAGGAAGAACCAGATGACAGAGAAGGAGATGGGAGAGGAGCTGATAGGGGAAAGAACTAGATAGATGAGAACCTAGAAGAGACAGAACTAGATGAAGGAATTAAGATAGAACCTAAAGGGGACAGTAGATAAATATAGAGAAATCAGGCAAGAAAGGAGCTAGGCATGATAGCAGAATAGAAGCTGTGTAGAGAGAGAACTATCACAGAATAATAAAGTGTATGAACTAAGGAGTTTCGTGTACATAAATTCATTTATTCTCATTAAAGATTTATTATCAGCTAGTTGTAGATTCTTCCTGGACCCTGGGAGGGGACTATCAAGGGGCTGGACCACCATAGTCCCCGATACTTAAAATGTAAAAGCTAGTTAGTAACAAGCCTAAGCTATTGGCCAATCATTTATAATTCATATAAGCCTCTGTGTGTTTATTTGGAACTGGGCGGGCAGGACAGGAAACGTTCATTTACAAGCCTCAAGCTCACAGAAATCGGCCTGCTTCTGCTTCCCAGGTACTGAGATTAAAAGTATATAATATACCACAATGCCCAGCATTAGTCCGTTTTTTGTTTTGTTTTTTTTTTTTTACTTTTATTTTCTGTTTATCCCAGTACCTCAAATAGCTTCTCCCATACAGCATTGGCTTTTCTAATCAGACACCACAGAGAAGAATTCCATACACAAACACATATCCATTATTTTAATCCTTCAGCCTCTGTCACAATGGTCCCATTGCACTCCCCACAAATCTGTTCCTATCACAGACCATTAAAATATCATGAATATCATACAGTGAACACAATCACATGTGATCACAGAAATGTGTGGCTAAACTAACACATCGTGTTTTCCACAGTTACACTCAGAGAAACACACACACACACACACACACACACAAACACACACACACACACACACACACACACACTCAAAGACACAGAGAGTCTGGTATTTATTCTCAAAATCACAACTGCGAAAAAAAAGTTTCCTGAAGAAAAAAATGCTATGTGTTCAGATGAAGTGTAGAGTCAGATCAAAAAGATACGGAGGGCATGGCTGAGTGGCAAAGCGCTTGCCTGCCATGCGTGAGGACCTGGGTTCCATCCAGCAAAAAGATCTATGGAGGGACTAGAGAGGCGGCTCAGCAATAAAGACCACTCTGGGAACTTCTGACCTCCTTTTCTGGCTTCTCCTGACATCAGACATGCTCATGGTGCACATCCATAAATGCAGGCAAAAATACAAAGTAAAAATAAATAAATACATTTTCAAATTATTTCACGTGCATGGGTGTTCTGCTTGCATGGATGTCTGCATATATGTGGTTTGGCCGCGGAAAGCCGTGAGAGAGACATTGGGACTGAGCCTTTTAGTGCAGCGGAACTCCTTGGTGCTGATGCCCTTTCTGTCTGGACTACATTTCCCAATGGCCCCAGCGGGAGCTGGGCCGTCGCCCCTTTGTGTCCTCCAGGAGCCCAGGCAACAGAGTCGCTTCTTTCCTGGCCCTTTCCCCTGAGGCTAGATTTGGTGAGCCTAAGGGCTGCGGGTGTGGCGGAGATTCCAGAGCCTTCCGGGCAGAAACGGGACCTCCCCGTAGTTCGTTCTGCGGGCGTGGAGTGGGCCGGGGAGTGGCCAGCGCGCGTCCCGGACACCGGCCGACAGACCCTCTGAGTGCCCCTCGGAATAAGACAGTGTTTGCTACGGTACGGCGAGACTGTCTCCCGATGTGCGAGTCCACGTCGACTGTGCGACAGGGTGCGAGTGAATCCACGACTGGTACCTTTCTCTTTTCCCCTTGCGCACGGACGTGCAGCCTTTTGTGACTGGAGTGTGAGACCGTTGTTAGTGATGCCAGACTGTGGCACCTGACCATGTGAGAATTGGGGGTGTAGGAGAGGGTGAACATTTGACACTACACCCAGGGCCTTGACTGTGGCATATGTGTGACAGTGGCTGGCAATGTAGTCTTTGAGACTTTGGGTATGTGAGGGTCCTGAGACTGTCACCCAGTGTCTTTTCAAGCTATCCAAGTGGTGACAATATGCTGCCAAGTTTCCGAATTAGTCTTCTATTGGAGAGAAGAACCTCATTTAATCTTAGTGACTCATGTATTCGAGGTGTATCTTTATCGCATTTCTCTTTGTTAACTCTGTGTATTTGCTGCCCAGGTAATAAATTGGAAATAACGTAGGCCATGGATTATATTGTATGCAAACAATTGCTAGCTCTCCATCATGCTCTGTTTATTGGAGGAAAAGTTGAAACAAGAGGGGAAAAACCGTAAAATGGTAGGCAGTTCTGGATGCTGAGAGGAACATCTAGTTTCTCGTGTTCTTTTCCCATCTCAGTTACCTGGGATTGCCATTTCTTAAGAGAAGAGTGTGGGGGGGGAGAACTTGGGCTTCTTAAAACCGTGTGTCAGTGAGCTGGTATATTCTCTCTTTGAGTTGTCCCAAAGTCCTCCAGTGGATTCCCAGTACTCCTGGCTATCTCATTTGAGCTCATCTAATTTCTTTCCCTCTGTGACTCTCTTTCAGTCAGCTCACTACTATCCTTAAAGTTTTTAAATACAATTTAAAAAAATCTTTTTCAAAAGATTTTTTAAGTGCATGTGTGTTTATCTGTGTGAGTGTGTGCCAGATGTGTGCAACTGCCCACAGAGACCAGGAGAGGGAGTCGGATCCTCTGGTGCTAGAGTTACAGGCAGGTGTGAGCCGCCTGACCTGGATGCTGGAAACTGAATTAGAATCGGTTAAGAGCATAGCAATGCTCTTTACTGTGGTCCACCTCCCCAGCCCTGTATACATTTTTTTTTTTTTTTGAGACAGGGTTTCTCTGTGTGGCCCTGGCTGTCCTGGAACTCACTCTGTAGACCAGACTGGCTTTGAACTCACCTAGATCCACCTGCCTCTGCCTCACAAGTGCATTAAAGCCATACAATGCTATATACATTTTTTTTTTTTTTTTTTTTTTT